GTTTATATTGTTTTTCGATATTTATATTAATGTACTTTGTTTCATTTTAATTTTTAGTTCTGTCGTGTGTTGTTAAACAGTTAGTAAAAGTTATGTAAATAAGAACACAACATATACTGAAAATATACTAACTGATTGTTGTTCAGGAGCTGCATGTGAATTAGGCATTTGAGCCGGCAAAAGTTATGTAAATAAATATGCAACATATACATGATGTATATAACATGTACTGAAAAAACAAAATGCACGTAAAAATTAAGTATATAACACGATTATGTTATGTATATGTACATGAATGATATACTATATACAGGTATATATTAAGTTATGTTTATATATTGTATATATTTTCCAGCCTTACTTCATAATTTCAACACAAAAAAAGAAAAAGTTTTCGTCTATTTTCTAGCCTCAGATCATCAAAATGGTTTGATATTATGTAGTTTTTGCGTGTTTAGAATATTATGTTGTTTGAATTTCAAATGTATTATAATTTTGTTTCTTTTTTAAACAGATTCCTATTTTCTAGGATATATAGCCCTACTATATAGAGAGCGATTTTTTATTTTGTAATGCATAACCAAAATCCCTGTTGTTGCGCAATTTAAGGATATGTTTCTTCTGCAATTAAAATCCATACAATTGGTAGGATTGCAAATAAAAATTGCACTATTGTTAACTTGCAATTAATTTGTAATCACGTAGTAGATGTAAAATTTCGCCTTTAAAAAATCCTATGAGTGGAAACAAGGAATATACGTGCGAAAGCCTAATGATTCCGATTCCTTAGATCAGAATCAAGTCTACAGATAAAAATGGAGTAAGGATTATAAAGCGACAAAAAACATTCTTTTAAATACAGCATTAACTCTGATAAATGCCAGAATTCTCAAACTATCGGCCTTACTCTACAGCTCGAGTCGCAGTAGAGTAAGCTTTGGGGGGACTAGATGGTATAGTCATACTTGTGAATCGGAGTCAAGCATGAAGAGGTCCAAGCGCAATCGAAGAAGAGCGACTGACGAGGTCAAGACGAGACTTGAATGTCTCGGTGACAAAGTATGAGAAGCTCTTCACGACTAAGTATGGGGAAGTAGAGGTGCTCTCTTCTACCTGCTAGATGTCACTCCTCTACCTGCTAGAGGTCATCTAGTCTCTACCTGCTAGAGGTCATCTCGTCTCGACCTACTAGACTTGCTAGAGGTCATCTCGTATCTACCTGCTAGAGATCACTCACCTCTACCTGCTAGAGGTCTTCGTTACTAGATGTCTCCGCTGCTAGACCTCCGCTATTAGAGGTTTCCGTTACTACACATCCGCTGCTAGAGGTCTCCATTACTAGACCTTCGCTGCTAGAGGTTGTGGTAAAGAATGTGAAACAGTGGAGCATGCGTTGTTCAAATGCAGGAGAGCTCAGATGGTATGAAAGCTGGCTCCAGTCCATTGGGAGGAACCACCAAGTGGAGAATGAGAGTTTAAAGATTGGTGGTGGTGGATCAGTTCTCTAAAGAAGAATGCAGTGGCTGAGAAGAGAATCCAGCTTTCTACCTACATCCTATAGTGGCTGTGGAAGGCCCAAAATCTTTGGGGTTTTGAAGGTCGTTGGAAACAAGAGCATTTGATAGTCAAGGCTGATATAGCCCTATTATCATAGTCTGGTTCAAATGATAGTTACTCGACTAAATAAATATTGCTGACGACATCATTAAGTCGACATCGCCAAAGTCGACTTGGCCCATCGGCCATCCGAGGATCGCCATTAATCCAACAACGACCCCGAGACGATTTTCCCAAGTCGACTTGTGATAAGTCGACTTATTCCATAAAAGATGAGTGGGCGTAATAGAATACCCTCAATACACATACGACTTTAGGTCGACTTAACGGTATCCAAAGTCGACTTATGAGGCCTCCGACGACTTGATACACTTGGATACAACACAGGGAAGATCTCCAAATGAGACCGAGCTCACATAGGATAAAAAGGAATCTCCATGCTGACTCAGGAGTGCGCAGAATACGAACCGACTGGGGTATTTTGGACACTTCATGTAAGTCGGCCAGGGCATTTTAGGTACTTCAAGTAAGTGTTTCCACTCCTATATAAAGGAGCTGAGGTAACTCCAAACTTTAACTTTTCATTCTCTACTTATTTTCCAGCTGCTGCTCCTACTGAGCAGGGCTCATCTTAACCACTTTCACTGACTTGAGCATCGGAGGCTCTTCACCGGAAACACTTCCGGTGTTGAGTTCTTGCAGGTATTTGCAGTGGCTCAAGGACGATTTGGAGCTAATTCGAACAGATCGGAGCTTATTTCCACCGGTTCACTCCAGATCTAGGAGAAGACCCATCAAATTGACAGCGACTCAAGGACGATTTAGAGCTAATTCGAACAGATCGGAGCTCATTTCCACCGGTTCACTCCAGATCTAGGAGAAGACGCCGTTTGTGGGAGTTCTTGAAGGAAGTAAGAGCTTTGCATCTAATTTCGATCTGTTTGACATGGCGGAGAAGGAGGGACTGTCGAGAGAGGACTTCAGGGCAGCATTGACAGACAAACGACCGTCGTCGATTCCTGGCCCTATACCACCACTCCAAGTGCTCGGTTTTCCACCATTTGGGGGGCATGCACCGTAAGGAGCGCGTATGGAGGAAGAAACACCCATCACACCACCTGGGGTAAAGATTCCAGGGCTAACACAAGGAGGATCTAGTCAAACGAAGGCCGCAGACACGGGGGTCGACAGGCATGAGTCGACCGAGACGACTTTGAGCTTGGGAAAGCAGCCTGGGATGTTGGAACAAGGGACAAGACCACCACCCCAGGTCGAGGAGCAAACGATGACCATGACGAGGAGCGAGATACAGAGAATGATCGCGGAAGCGGTGGCGGCCCAACTCAAGCAGGCGCAGGTCGAGCAAGCGCAGGTCGAGCAGCCCTGGGTCGAGCAACCTAGGGTCGAGAAGCATAGGGTCGAGCTACCACCCCATGATCGTGAGCAACTGGCCCATTCCAATGAGAGGCAGATCAGGAGGGCAGAAGAGGAAGCATCTTCTATCAGGACCGCCAACCCGCAAGCGAGAGACGAGACACTGGAGCAGTTGCTAGCCCAAGTTCGCGATTTGCAGGCCCAAGTCGAGGGAAGAAAAATTGGAGGCTCAAGGGGACATCCCTTCTCGCAACACATTCTGGATGCCGACCTGCCGCAAGGTTTTCACGATCTAAACATAAGTTATGACGGGTCGACCGATCCATCTCGTCATGTGAGGAGTTTCAAGAATATGGCGGTTCTGCATCGTTATAATGACCCAGTGCAATGTCGAGCTTTCTTGACGACCTTGCAGGGATCTGCGCAAGATTGGTTTCATCAATTACCATCGGGAGCCATCAAGGACTTTGATGGATTCAGCTCGAGCTTTCTCAATCAATTTGAAAGTGTCAAACCGCAAGAGAAATCGTATCTGACCTTGATGGGCGTACAACAGAAAGAAGGCGAGTCACTGCGAGACTATGTGGCGAGATACACGCGGGCGTGTGTCGAGGTGCCCAGGGCGTCGGAGGAGATAAAGGCGGGAGGTTTGACTCGAGGATTACTACCGGGCTTATGCAGGAATTCTTTGGCAAAGCGCCCGGGTAGAACGTTCGATGAGGTACTGGGAAGATGTGCGAAGTACATGAATGTCGAGAAAGCGGAAGCCGACTTCTTGCAAACGGTTAAAACAAGTAAAGCTGACTCTCGGAATGAGAGGAAGGAGAAGAAGAGTTCCTCGACCGGGGAAAAAGAGGGGTCCCCACAAGCAGAAAGAGAATGGCGATCTAGGGGTTGGAGGCCAACTCAATACACCCATTTGTCGGCCCCCCAAGTGCGAATTTTGGAGGTGATGGAAAGGGAAATTCATGACAATGTCGTCAGATAGCCCAAGACGAGGAAGGATGGACCAACGAGACCAAAAAGTAATCTATACTGCCGATTTCATAAGGATTATGGGCACAATACTGACGACTGCAGGCATCTCAAGGACGAGATCGAGAGACTGATTAAAGCAGGACACTTGAAGGAATTCATATACAAGGATCGAGAGAAGTCGAGCAAGAGGAGAGAAAGGAGCAGGAGCCCTCGCAAGAGGGCGAGAAGACCTGAGAAGAAGGAGCTTCCTCAGAAAAGAGGAGTCATACATATGATATTTGGTGGATCGACTATGGGGATTCAAATCGAGCAAGGAAGGCGTATGCTCGAGGGCGCCATGGGAAAGTCGAGGTACAGCAAGTCGACGAGAACGGCCCAGTAATGAACTTTGGGCCAGCAGATGTGGGAGAGGTCGAGAGACCTCACAATGATGCGTTAATGATAATCGCGCAAGTATCAAGATATGAAGTGCAGAGAGTGTTTGTCGACACCGGGAGTTCAGTGAATGTGATCTTCTATGATTGTCTCAAGAGGATGGAGCTCGACATACAACTAACACCCCTCCATACCTCGTTGTTTGGTTTCAATGTTTCAGAGGTAGCGCCCCTAGGGGAGACTATGCTCGCTGTCGTCCTAGGAGAAGGCGACTTACGAAAAGTAAAGATGATAAGATTCGTGGTAGTCGATGTCGAGTCGGCCTACAATGTGATCCTGGGAAGGCCAGCGCTTAATGCGTTTCAGGATGTGGTGTCAACGTACCACATGAAGTTGAAATTCCCAGTCGAAGATCGAGTAGGAGAAGCTCGAGGCGATCAAAAGCTGTCGATGACAAGTTATCAAATCGCTTTGAAAACCAACCAACGGGCCGAAGTTAAAGAAG